TTTCAGTCCTCGTGCCCCCCGCTCTGCATATTTTGCAAGTCTCGCTTAGTTAACACACCCGATTCAGATAACCAGCTCGTTAGAAGTGTGTTACGTGCATGAACTGTGTTCTGATCGATATGATCCCTACACAGTGTTCATTGCTGCTCCCCCTACACAGTGTTCATTGCTGCCCCGTTTAAGTTTACTTCACTTCGGAACATGGGCTGGAATTGGGAACCGCTGATGTAGCTTAGTAATGTTGTCTCTGGTATTCTGGTCTGTGAGCGTATATGCGTTCAGGGGGCGTGGCTTTGGACGGCGATTGCAGGGAGGGTGGGACGTTCGCTTTCAGTGCTATCAGGCTATAGTTAGCATTTTCCAAGATCTCCTACTGCACCTTTAAACCATATAAACACATTTCATTACACCAAATACACAAAATAATGTTCTTTTTAACAACATCATATGACCCCTTTAATTCTGTTGAGTATATTACAGTAATTTTTCAATGCAGTTTGTTTGAAAACTGTTCCTTACATTTATGATGTTTTTTTTTTTTTTTTGTGCATTATATACCACAGCTGAACTCGCACAAGGAGGCGCCAACCTAGTACCGGCCAAGCCCTCGCCCCCCATGCCCCCCAAAAGAACCACACCTGTCACCAAACGCAATGCAGAGGACTCCCCTATGACTATTTCCTCTCTTCCCTCCATTCTGTCCGAGGACATGAGGGCCAACATCCCCGGGGGCTACCAGTTGCCCCCGCCTCCCCCATCCCCACCTCTCCCCACATACATTCCCCCTTCCCCTCCACGGGTCCACACCCATCATCTCCTCCACCAACACTCCTACCCCTACCCCCTGCCCCAGCCACTCCCTGTCCACTTTGACCCTCCTAGCCCGCCGGAGGAACCACCAGCCCGTCAAGCCCCCGTTCCCTTACACATTATGATCCAGAGGGCGCTCAGTAGCCCAGGACCCACTCTACCACACCCAGATGGCTCCCAGCGTGCCCACTCACTGTTGTTTGAGATGCCACCGGAGTACCAGGGCAGCCGCCCACTGCCAGTCACCATCCAGCCTCTCAAACTGTGAGTGAAATCTGGGCACTTTCTATACTTATTAATAGAGCTGCCAGTCAAAAATTTTATTCCAAATTAAAATGTTTTTAAATATAGTTTTGATGCTGAACGTTTTTTTAGAATATAAAGAAGCACTTTAAAAAACCTTAGTAATGATGTAAAGTTTGATTGAAATGAAAATTCACTGTAGTTTGTAGATGCATATTATAGTTCTTATTGTGAACGGATCATCTATATATATTAAATATAATTTATATATGTATTACATTCCAACAACCTCTACTGCTGAAGCCAAATTCTTTGTAAGGTTGTAGTTTTATTTTTTTCATATGTGTGTGTGTATATATAAGAAGAAGAATATACATATAAAATATAAATCTAAATAAAAAATTTAGCCTGTAAATTAAATGTAAATTGTATCTTTTGTAAGCAACAGTTACAATTATTTATAAAAAAAAGTACAAGGCAAGCTTACATTACTAAACCTATGTAGAGACACACTTATAATTACTTGTATTTTAAACTTCTCAAAGAAAATAATATACTACATATCATGTTTTCATGATATATTTTTCCTTGTGGTCCCCAGAAATTTTTGTGCCAAAACATCACGGGTCAAATATGGTTTTATAACAACCGTTTTATTACATTTTATTGATTTTAATTATTAATTTTTTTATTAACTTTTATACATTTTAACTTAAATTTTCTGCCCTTCCTTTTTATAATCTTGCAGCTGCTTGATATGAATAAAAATCCTCCATAGACATTTGGGAGATGCTGGTTGAAATCTGTCCTGCATTATGTGGCTGTGATTCCCTTTTTCTCTAAAATAATTTTCGTCTTTTCTTGACGCTCTCTGACAGTTAAAAAGTTGCAAAAACAGTACATTTATATGCATATTAATCCTGTGTGAAATAGATTTTTTGTTATTTTTGCAGGGATGAGGATGACTACTCCGATGAAGAGGAGGAGGAAGAGGACGATGACGACGATGATGAGGAACCTCTACCTGATCACCTCCCATCCCCTCAGTCCCAGCCAGAACTTGAGCCTCGTAGCCGCAGATGCCTGGTGGGGGATCTGAGCGTCAGCGTCATCCCTGAAGGAAACAACAGCAGCGAGGAGGAGGAAGATGAGGAAGATCATCAGCCGGAGGAGAGCGACTCGGATGGGCCTGTGCTATACAAGGACGATGAATCGGATGAGGATGACGATGATGACAGCCCACCAAGTATGTTAACAGCTTTTTCTGCTTTATATTGCATGTAAGTCTCCTTTGTTCACAAAGGCTGCATTTATTTGATCAGAAATACAGTAAAAACATTAATACTGTGAAAAATTATTACAACTTAAATTAACTATTTTAATATATTTTAAAATTTATTCCAGTGATGGCAAAATTGAATTTTCAGCAGTCATTATCCAGTCTTCAATGTCACATGATCCTTTAGAAATAATTCTATTGCACAGCTCAATAAAAATTTCTTACGGTTATCAATGTTGGAAAAAAGTTGTACTGGTTTAATATTTTTGTTATTTGTATTTTTTTTTTTAATTAAAGTTTAAATTAAGTGATAAATTAAGTTTTAAAATAACATTTGTACATTTTGTTTTAAAAACATTTGTGTCTTTGTGTTTAGAAAACACCTTCTGATGTCTGTATTAATTTAACATTTTTTTTAGTAGGATCGTATACTCCGACATCTGTCTATATAAAAGAGAGCCAAACCTTCTGACTGCATGCATGTGCGCATGTGTGTTTGCTCGCTGCAGGTGCTCTGGCCAGCAGGGTGAAAAGGAAGGACACGTTGGCGCTGAAGTTGAGCAGTCGGCCCTGTGCCCCAGACAGGCAGGCTCCTGAGAGGCAGGCCAAAGTAGAGCACACGGGTCTGTCGTGGCAGAGCAAGGAGCAGTGGGAGGCCATCCGCACACAGATTGGTAGCGCACTCACACGGTAATAGCCCTCTCAGCTACTCACACTCACATAAATGCAAGTTACACTGAAACTGATTTACTGAATATGAACACAGCTGTGAATCAGCCATAGGTTCATAGTCAGTGCAAGAAAAACCAACAAGAAACAAGAAGTTTGGATACATATTTTTTTATACATGTATATGTATGCTGTGTGTGTACATATACTTACTGGCTATATATAAATGTATATAAATATTCAATTACATAATTTTTTTATTTAAATTTATATTTTTACTATTATTTATTATAATACAAATTATTATAATTTAAATATAATTAGACTTTTTTTTAATTAATATATATTTAAATATTGTATAATGTGCAATATGAATAATATGAGATTTAATTTAAATTTTTTTTCTTCGTCTGTAGGCGATTGAGCCAGAGACCTAGTGCTGAGGAGTTGGAACAGAGAAACATTCTCCAGCGTAAATTTCCTCTTTATACTGACTCCAGTTATTGCATTGTGATTTATCTTCGTGCTTCCGTTCTGTTCTGTCCCTTTTTCCTCGTTTCATCAGTGTTCACTGAAGGATTGACACTGACCCATATTTTTTTTTTACTCTGACTCTATTGGTTTCATATGCCGGCAGATATTACTGATACTTTCTGCTAAATAGAGTGAAGTCCTTGCTTTTGTTTCTCTCAAATGAGCCTATGAGTTTTAGTTTGTGATACTTTGTCTATAGGAAGTGAAATTAGATCCAAAATATTTTGCTGTCCTCATTTATTTTGTACTTCAATGTGCCAATAGTAGGGATGTAACGATTCACTCAACTCACGATTCGATTCACGATTCGATTCGATTCACGATTATTATAATTTTTTTTAACAAAATGAGATTTAAGACAAATTATAAATTAAATGTGTCCTTTTATTATTGCTTGGACAAAATGCTGCACATTTCTTTGTGAAATTGAAATATAACACTATAATAATAATATACTAATATAGCACTTGCATATTATTGCTCTTTCGTTGGTTTTGATTGATTCTATTGTCCTCATTAGTTAGTCGCTTTGGATAAAAGTGTCTGCTAAATGACACTTCACATGTAAATAACAAAACTAAATTGAAATTTTAAAACAAGCCCCAAATCAAATTAATTTGTAACACAAATAAAAGAAATCTCTTCATATAAACAAACTAAGGCTTTGTCTGTGCTCTTTCCATTTCAAATTAGAGGCAACCACTGCATTTTAATCATGATCCAAACAAAAATGCTGCATACATGCAACTTGAGCAGTTTTTAATCTAAATTAGATTGTATAATTTCGAAATCTGAAGCAAAAACAGAATGGTCTGACTTCAGTTTTGTGAAACTATACATAAAAAAGATCTGCATGAAACAGCGGACGAGCTGAATGAGACGCAGATTCACTCTCTGCCAGCAGGCGGCACTTAAAGTCTTTCCTGGTTTCCGCTGTAAACAAAGCAGTGCTGAATAGATGAACTATAATATGCATTATACAGAGGCAAGATTAAAAGAAAAAATACCATCTAAACTTTTCTAAAGACAGTAAATTCCCCTCAGACATGCATTTATATAAACTCCTACACCTAACTGAATTGCCATTTGTTTAGCATATCAACCGATTTGAATCGTCACATATTTGAATCGATTTTCAGCCGGCTCGCGGTTAATCGTCACATCCCTAGCTAATAGTTTATCATGCTCCACATAATTTTCCTATGAAATTGGATTTGAATCAGCCTGATTGGTGTTGATGGTATCTCATTTCTCTCCAGCCAAAAATGAAGCAGACAGACAAGCAGAGGTCCGGGAGATCAAGCGCAGACTCACCAGAAAGGTGCGATTTGGTTTGCTTGCATTACATTTCACCTGGAATATAATATGAAAGGATTAATTCACTTCCAGAATTCTCCAGAATTCATTCACCCCCATGTCATCCAAGATGTTCTTTCTTCAGTCGAAAAGAAAATAAGGTTTTTGAAGAAAACAGTCCAGGATTTTAATCTATATAATAGACTTCAATGGTGGCCAATGGGCTGAAGGTCCAAATTGCAGTTTCAGTGCAGCTTCAAAGGGCTCTACACGATCCCAGCCGAGAAATAGGGGTCTTATTTAGCGAAACAATCGGTCATTTTATAAAAAAATTTTTTTATACTTTTTAACCACAAATGCTCATCTTGCACTAGCTCTGTGATGTGCATCTACGACTTCACGCATTGCGTAATCACATTGGAAAGGTCACACGTGGATAGCTCTTTGAGCGTTTGACTTTTTCTTTGCACGTTCGCTTTGTGAACACTGGGTTGGTACTTCAGCCTACGTCACACGTGACCTTTCCAACGTGACTATGTAATGGGTGAAGTCGAGCTAGTGCAAGACGAGCATTTGTGGTTAAAAAATATATACATTTTTTCTGTGCCGAAAGCCTTGTGGGCAGCACGCCGACATATAGCCCTGTTGCACTTTGGGTGACCCAAGTTCGAGTCCTGGCTTGCTGTCCTTTCCCAATCCTGCCCCTCTCTCTCTCCCACCTTGTTTCCTGTCAATAAATACTGTCCTATCCTAATTAAAAAAAAAAAAAAAAAAAGTATATACATTTTAATTTAATTTTTTTAGAAAATGACAGATCGTTTCGCTAGAGAATACCCTTATTCCTCGGCTGGGATTGTGTAGAGCCCTTTGAAGCTGCATTGAAACTGCAATTTGGACCTTCAACCCGTTGGTTCCCATTGAAGTCCATTTATATGGAGAAAAATCCTAGAATGTTTTCCTGAAAAACTTAAATTCCTTTTTGAAGGAAGAAAGCAAGACATGAACATCTTGGAGTAAATTATTAGAAAAATTTTATTCTGGAAGTGAACTAATACTTTAATGTTGATTTTAGCAAGAAGCGATAATTAAAATAATGTTTCTTCAAGGAATTTCAATCAAACATTCACCTAACTCTCAGTATTTGTGACACGCATTTGTCTGTTTTCTTTTCTTTTTTTTAGTTGAGTCAACGACCGACTGTTGCCGAACTACAGGCTCGAAAAATATTACGTTTCCACGAGTACGTGGAGGTTACATGCGCTCAGGACTATGACCGCCGTGCTGACAAGCCATGGACCAAACTCACTCCCGCAGACAAGGTACATCTACAGAAAAAAAAAATTGCAACCACACACACATTTGTGTCTATATAAAGATCTAGAGATCTTTATATAACATTTGACTTAAGTACTTGAGATTATAGTCTCAAAAGACACTGATTTCTTTTAAATGTCTCGCTTATTGATCTATATCTATATCATACTGGTAAAAAAAAAATGTATAGCCTAAATGCACTGTAAGTCGCTTTGGATAAAAGCGTCTGCTAAATGCATGAATTATTATTATTATTAATTATTATTATTATTATAGCTGCTCTACACATAATCAACCATCTGTAACCTGTTTGTTTAGGCTGCTATTCGTAAAGAGCTCAACGAGTTTAAAAGCTCTGAGATGGAAGTGCATGTGGAAAGCAGAATTTACACAAGGTAAGTACTGTTAAACATAAAAATACAGAAAACTTCTTGTGCAAAGCATCTAACCGTTTACAGTTAATCTAATCTATTACAATCTAATATTTACATTTTTATGTGGTTTTGTGTCATTTCTAGATTCCATCGTCCTTAATTGCATCTTTTAACTGGAAAATTAAGCACTTAAAGGTCGGTGGATACTGGGAAGAAATTACTTTTTTTTTTTTTTTTTTTTTTTTTTTTGAGGAACCTCAGTGTGTCAGAGCTCTTTTCAGACTGCTTTTACTATGAATGTACTTCTTCAGATGCACAGGGACTCCTGGAGCATTCAAAATTAAAACAAAACAGACCGTTTCTCAGTTGTTCGCCCACTATCGTGTGGGACGGGTGACCTCTGGGGGACAGATGCAGTATTTCTCCTGGACTTTAGGGGACCCATGTGCCAAGACAGAGAGGCGATGAAGGACTTATTAAAGGATGTTACTGGTGCCAATGGCAGATATTCCTCTCTCTACTCTCTGAATGGCCTTTTTTCTGCTTTTACTTCATATGATAAACTTTATTTCCTTTCAGGGAAGTGTAACAAAGTTAAAAATTAATAGTAATAATGATGTGACTAATAAATACAGTAATACTACAGTAAGTGTTAGTTAAGTGCGCATAGCGGGGCAGACAGAAGTACTGCAAGAAGGCCTGAGCCTGGATCTTATTGTGTATGTTTGTATAGACTGCTGTAATTTTTCTCTTAGTTTGACTCTTTGGAACGTTCTAAATGTTAGAAACTTTAAGGCACAAGGTTTTTTTTCTTTTCTATTATTCATAACTTTGGCTTTGACCTTCTTTATTCAAGACAGGGTTACAGATTCCCCCTTATTTTGTGGTCCTCACTGTTTGAGAAGTCATAGAGAAGAATAGAAGAAGATAGGATACATTTTTTTAGATAGAATGTAAGCGTTTCATATTTCACTATTGATTTACAGAAAAAAACTGTGATCTATTATCTTTTACAATCTTGTTTTTAATCATATCACCTTCTGTAAAAAATGAGGTCCAGCTATTTCAGTTTTAAGAAGTGTCCAAATCATGTTTACAAAATATTTTATTTTTAAATAAAAAGGATTTCCTGATTATTTATTGCCCATTTAAAAGAATGAATTTAGTCCAGACACACATGCACTGAGACAGTTTTCATTGTTGACACAGAGGTTATTGCGGCAGGAACTCTTCTTTATTTTTTTCCCAATTTTATCATTTGTTTTTTTGTTTTGTTGGCCAGTAGGATAATAGGAATTGCTCTGCTGTACAGATCCATTCTGTAGATGAACCTGACTGTTTGTGTATATCTTGTCTTCCTTTTATTTAAAAAAAAAATATTTTAAATATATTGAAACTCATATAGGTTACTATTTTTTTAAGCACAAAATTATTAGTGTATTATTCAACACTACAATGTAATGTAGCGTTGTATATTCTTGCTTTTTAATTATATGTGAACTTTTAGAAACTGACAGTAAATTTGCTGTTTAGATGTAAACACCTCTAAATCTAAATTAAAATGCTTACCAATAAGGTTTGTTGAGGCTCTCTTTTTTCTTACTTAAAAAAAATGCTTTCTTATGAAATATTGACTATCATTTTGCACGCAGAACCTAAACAGTAATGGTTCACACTTCACATTTTACAATTTAATCTTTTCCAAAGCCACATATTTCACATTTCTGAGATGTAATGTCCGAATAATGAGAAATTATATTGCAAATATGAGAAATCCCAGCTGAAAAATTGCATTTATTGCAAAAATTAACACACTAAGTGCATAATGCATTTCAAAAGAGACAACAATGTGCCACAACTAGCATATAACATCAAAAGTGTGTTGAGGTTTTAGAGAGCACTGTTAGTGCAGAGGAAGGGCCAGGAATGGGTAATATAACTAATTTCTCCATTTATTTCATGGTCTCTATTCATTTTACATCTGTAGTGGCTTACTAAAGCTAAAACAAGCAAAAAAAATATTTTGGGTAATTGAAATAAAGCTGAAAAATATGTAATTATAATATAAATATATGAAAAACTTACATGAAAATGAGAAATTGGCTTTGGCAACTACACTGGAAAAAAAAAAAAAGTTTAATTTCACAAATAATTACCAAGACATGAATGAAACCTTGAAGTAGAAAGACTGAAATGTTTATTTTCTTGTAAAACATACTGCAGTATTTTTTTCCAGCTAAAAAGTACTAAAACTACTACAAAGTATTCTTAACTGAAATAAATGTAATTTGAAGTAGCAAAATTACTAAAACTAAAATAAAAATTAAAGCTAAATAGACATTTTTTAAATAATAACAATAAAAATGGCAAAGCCCAGTTACAAAAACCTAAACTAAAATGAAATTCATTGAAAATATAAATACTTTTCATTCAAAATATTAATGAATACCATAACAGTATATAATTAATAAATAAAAAAATACTGGTCTGACCATAAATAACTGAAGCCAATTAAACAACAGTTTAAAAAAAACAAATAAAAAATAAAGCAAACATTTTGTATAAATACTGTATAAATAATTAGAAATGTTCTTTGTATTTTATTTTTGATTTTTGATTTTGTTTTTGATTTTTTTTTTGTGATGTATCTGATTGTATTATTCTGATTTATTATGAGAATTCTCAATTATGATTAGTCGTGTCATAAGTCATTTATTCATGTAAAATATTTTTAAATGCTACTATGTGCATACTTTTCAAATATTCCTTGGGAAAACATAACGTTTGGTAACGTTTCTACGGTGGCCGTAAAGTGCAAAGCAAATCACAATTCTGAAAACAAAAGAAAAAAATTACAAACGCAAATGCAAGTCTAAAAACCAAATAATTCAGAAAGCACAACAACAATTCAAAAAACATTATAACAAGTCAGAAAACACAACGACAAATCAGACAAACCGGAAGAGGTAGGTATAGTTTGAGACAGCGCCATTGGTTTGGGATTACTCACCGCTGACTGGACGAGACATCTGTCAGTGAACGTATACAGGAAGAACAGAGTCGTGGTAGAAAGTTCGGAGATGGTATTAAAGTAGCTCAGTTTAAATGTATTGTATGAATTGTCCTTACTCTGGAATAAAAAATACTGGGTGTCTATTTAGATTTTGTTAAAAGTGGCTGTAAATCATCAGCTCCAGTGGTGCAATTGGATAAGCGCTTAATCTTGGCTTTTTGACGTGATCAACACAGGTTCGATCCCACCTTTTGCCAAACTTTTTTTTTCTCCCTTTTCAAATCTCGTATTAGCAATAGATTCTATTTACACTAAGTGAAAATAGCAGTATTTTTAGCAATATGCTATTTACACTGTGCAAATACCCCTATTTACACTGTTAAAATAGCAGGATTTCTACTATCAAGTATACTACTTGTTGCAAATAGTGGCAATTATCTGCACTTCAGTATTGTAGTACATTATAAAACAGTATGCAATAAACTGGGTGTCTATTTAGATTTTGTTAAAAGTGGCTGTAAATCATCAGCTCCAGTGGTGCAATTGGATAAGCGCTTAATCTTGACTTTTTGACGTGATCAACACAGGTTCGATCCCACCTTTTGCCGAACTTTTTTTTTCTCCCTTTTCAAATCTCGTATTAGCAATAGATTCTATTTACACTAAGTGAAAATAGCAGTATTTTTAGCAATATGCTATTTACACTAAGTGCAAATACCTATTGACACTATGTTAAAATAGCAGGATTTCTACTATCAAGTATACTACTTGTTGCAAATAGTGGCAATTATCTGCACTTCAGTATTGTAGCACATTATAAAACAGTATGCAATAATAACGTATTGAGTGTAAATTAT